TATTTCCATCCACTAACGTTGGCGATAGGCGTGTCCACTCGTTTATCCATATACTTCTCTTATATATATGGTTTTTGCACGTTGAGATAAAAGGTCTAAACTCCGTACAATCTGCGCATGCGAAAGAAACGTCAAAGTTCAGTTGCAATTTGTTATTAATTAAAATGTAGGTTAGGTTATTGTTTTCATCCAAGGCTATTATAATGAATAAACATATTCGTAATGTACATTTAAACTAGCAGACTTTTGAGGTTGTTATACCAAGAGCCATGTTTCGCTGCAGCAGTATAAAATCCGAAAAGGACAGTATAAGCCCCATGTTCACAAATCGTAACCCAAGACATTTCAAATATCTACGAATCGCTCATAAACCGGACGGCTGCTACGGTGATAAAACTGGAACGCTCCTACTGGCATAAATATACAAATTTGCTTTCCTACCGCCTCCAATAAGACAGCCCGATTGTAGATGACAACTGACACAAACAGGCCGTTACATAACTTCATTCTTCGTGCATTACATCAACGGACCCGACGCTCACCGCTAGCACGAAGGAATGGGCCATCAAAACCAGGCTGTATAAGACCATGTACCAAGTCGTTGGCGTACATGAACGTTACACGGTCACGTCCCTGCATTCAATTTAATGTTTGCTACTTGTAGGTTTCAGTTCTTCGTACAAAGATGCCTTGCAAGCGGTCCGACAGAGTTTATGTGCGATTGCAAACCCGAACACAACGTCAGTAAGGTCGCAAAGTTTCTAATGTGCTCCAAGATTTCAATTTGAAATTGCCAATTCCGAGCCAATTCACTATAACTAAGGTGCCCTTTTTATTATTGTGTAGTTTATTATTATTTAATGTTTAAAATATTGGTAAGCAATAAAAAGTTTACATATTTATTAAATTTATTGTTTTTGAAACCCATTAACTTCTTCTTAAAAAATCAAATAAACGGTTTTTCATGCAATCTAGAAATTAGTAATAAGCACCTTCTTTGGAAGAACCTTTGAGTTAGAAACAGGGAAGCATCTCGAGAGACTGAACGTAGGGCTTTCTATCACTTCATTGGAGCGACCCAATACTCGGCTTTCTCTTTACAGAAACTATGGAAGCACAAGTACAAATAAAACTTTATTGTAAATTATGCAGTTATTTACCTAATAGGTACACAATTTAAGGTCGATTCACATTATCTGTCAAGTCAGATTATATCCCACGGTTTTGGTAATATTTCTCTCGTCCACGGCTCTCTTGACTATTCCGGCTCAGACAATTTGAAATTGAAATCTTGGAGCACATTAGAAACTTTGCGACCTTACTGACGTTGTGTTTGGGTTTGCAATCGCACATAAACTCTGTCGGACCGCTTGCAAGGCATCTTTGTACGAAGAACTGAAACCTACAAGTAGCAAACATTAAATTGAATGCAGGGACGTGACCGTGTAACGTTCACGTACGCCAACGACTTGGTACATGGTCTTATACAGCCTGGTTTTGATGGCCCATTCCTTCGTGCTAGCGGTGAGCGTCGGGTCCGTTGATGTAATGCACGAACAATGAAGTTATGTAACGGCCTGTTTGTGTCAGTTGTCATCTACAATCGGGCTGTCTTATTGGAGGCGGTAGGAAAGCAAATTTGTATATTTATGCCAGTAGGAGCGTTCCAGTTTTATCACCGTAGCAGCCGTCCGGTTTATGAGCGATTCGTAGGTATTTGAAATGTCTTGGGTTACGATTTGTGAACATGGGGCTTATACTGTCCTTTTCGGATTTTATACTGCTGCAGCGAAACATGGCTCTTGGTATAACAACCTCAAAAGTCTGCTAGTTTAAATGTACATTACGAATATGTTTATTCATTATAATAGCCTGTGATGAAAACAATAACCTAACCTACATTTTAATTAATAACAAATTGCAACTGAACTTTGACGTTTCTTTCGCATGCGCAGATTGTACGGAGTTTAGACCTTTTATCTCAACGTCGGTTTTTGCCTGTAGTTTTCGGTTATTCTTGTGGTTGTTGTTATTATTCATCTTCGCTCTTAGTGCAAAAAAATGTGTTCTTTTCAGAACAAAATTGCTGTTTGTTTGTGTACATTCTACCGTTATTTACATTTGTACTCGCCACAATGCCGAAATATTTGAACAGTAAAGCGAAGGAACTCCTTGCGTCTTTAATTCAATATTTTGAACAGGAACGAGATAATGGGGGTTTCTTATTACCATTAGGTTCAGTTCGAGAGGTAAGAATGGTTTCAATTACTTCTGACTACTTCTACTAATTGTGATTACCTTCAGCGCATTGTGGCAGCATTACATTTAAACATTTCTACGGTCAGCAGAATATCCCAAGCTTTTAAACAAAACGAAGCTTTGATATCGCAGATCTTGGTATTTGCATCTAAAAGTACTGGCGATTACCACGGAGAAATGAATCGTGAAAACTTTTTACATTGGTTTGAAAAACAATTATTAGTAAATTTAGAAGAACCAAGTGTTATCGTATTGGACAATGCTTCTTACCACAACACCTTATTGACACAAAATCCGAACAACTCGTGGAGAAAAGCAGATTTTCAAGATTGTTTACACAATAAACTTGCACTTGCGATTGTAACCTCAGAAATGTGGAAAAATTCAATTAATCACACCGAAATAGTACATTGAAATACAAGTGCAGAAACGGTATTATTGAAAAACGAGTATAAATGTAGGAACACGAGCGCCAGCGAGTGTTCCTATTATACGAGTTTTTCAATGACCGTTTCGGCATGCGTGTTTCATACTATTTTTTCTACGAAAGTGAAAAATTCTTCTCTAGAAATTAGAAATTTCAACTAGCCAAATAACGACAAAAAATCGTATAGTCTGATCGTAGTTGGATGTTTCAATTGTAAATGATCCAGTAAGCCGGTTGCCATGACAAAACATAATTGTTTGAAAAATCGTAAATTTAAGTCAAACAATTTGTGGCGTAGTGAAGAAGTGTTAAGATAGATTTTGACGAAACTGAAGATGAAGAAGGTATGTGCACCCCGCCGGACGTTGCGGAAATGGCTAATGCGGTTTCGCATGAATTGCTACCCCAAAAGTGTAAGCAGCGTTTCGGAAAGGAGCGTTTTCATAAGAGAATAAATCGCTAAGTTTTTGAGAGAAGCGCCTAATGAAACATTTGTAATGATGAAGGTTTGTCAATTTCTTATTGTATTTTTAAATCATAAATAAGCATAATTTATAATTACAGGTTGCTCTCGTCCTTGGAGTGGCTGGAACTTGCCGTTGGAGCGAACGTTGTAAAATGACTGTAACGAATTTCACAGAACAAGATACAATTTTATTGATACTTAACGATTCCTGACTCCAAGAATCATGTCCCAAGAACGTTTTCTGTAGCAGAAGGTAAAGGAAATTCTACCATTGTCTGTCTTATATAACGAAACTGTGAATAAAGCAATACAATTATAAAGAGTTACTTCGCATATGTTTATTAGCATGTAGAAAATGCGTGCAGAAAATATTTTTGCCGCACTAGTGTTTCAAAGACCTGTTTTCACAATCAATTTACCTACAAAAACAATCGTGTTTCTACACTTTCGTAGAAAAAGTTTATAAAGGAATAGTATGAACGCGAAAAACAATTGGATATTGCAGAAATGGTCCCAATTATTATAAACTGGGTGAAAATGATAGTTGAGTGATGACAATTAACTGGACAATAAATAAAACTGCAATTACCTAAGTCACGAGAACTGAAACTTGAAACTTTGACATATGCCTGGCGTCGCCGCCTCTCCCAGGATTTAGTCAACTGTCGTGAGGATGCGTCCCTGGTAGACACTATCAGGGACGTTTCTCCACTACTTTGTTGCCATCGCGCTGGGCCGCGACATATGCCAAACAATGTGGTGGATTTTGTGGATTGGGAGGGTTGTGGGGGGGCGGCTAACTGGGTGTTATCCGACCCGAACGGGTACGGCCACAGCTTCGCCACTGGTATTCTGCCTTAGAGGGAACTCTGCTTTCTAGTGATAGCTTCTTCTCCGAGCGTTCATTGGCTTCCGATGTTCCTATCCTTTGGTCTCGTTCCCTTCCCTGTTTTCCCTCGTGTTAGGCTCTTTTTATTGTTGTCCTCTCCCCGCATTACTTTCTGTCCCCATTTCCTCCTCCCCTTGGCTACTTGTCCTTGTGGCTGATTCTTCCTCCACCTCCAGTATTCTACTGCTTTCTTTCTTCCTTTGATGTTTGTCTCTGCTATTCTCTTCCCATGGTAATCCCCGAGACCTCTTGTTATGTAGTCTGAAAAGTATCTTTCACCTTTTTACGATCATATCAGTTTATGTTGATTATCATTTTATGTAGTTCAATAAAATTTCTTGTGTTTTTGTCTCGGTTGAACTTACTACACCTTTTCCACTTTTATTCGAGAAGTTGTAAATTGTATTTGAGAATTGTTACTTGTATTTGAGAAAACGTCAAAATAGATGAGAATAGTCAGTTGGATTTGAGAAAACATCAAATGTATTTGAGAATAGTCAATTGTATTTGAGAAAGTATCATTTAATTTTATTGTATTTTAGAATGTAATATTATTCCTAATGAATTATAATTAAGAATCAAATTTTTATAATTCCGCTACTGTATGTAGTCCCGCAACAGCAGCAGCAGCAGCATCAGGCTATGTTATACATGTGATTTTGTTATTGATTCTCAAATGCTTAATTTTACCATTTCTTGAATACAATTTACTAGTCTCAAATTCATTTGATGCCTTCTCAAATACAAATCACTATTCTGAACTACATTTGTTGTTTTCTCAAATACATTTTACTATTCTCAAATACAATTGATACTTTCTCAAATTAACTTGATAGTTTCTCGAATAAAAGTGGAAAAGGTGTAGTCTCAAATTTCACTACAGCAAGAGTTGGTCAAATAACGTAAAATCAGTCAAGATTTCAAGCAAGCATTAACTTGATATTTATTTGCTGATGGCCTATGCAATGGTTTATAACTTCCGAAACATTTACATAATGTCGCAATGCCCACATTCCTCATCTTTCTGCTCACAACGGCAGCGATACGTTATAAACAAAATGCTAATAGTACTACACTTAGTGGACTGCACTTTCCTTGAACCCGTCACAGCACAGTAGGAATGGGTTTTATTGATGCACAGTCGGTTGGTTTCACACAGAGAGCCCAAAAAATGATCTCTGAATTTTCTAGTTCCTCTGGAATCTGGATGGCTCAGAGTAAGAAATAAAGATAGAGTACGCGTACGCTATAACAACGTGAACGTTTGTTTTGAACCAACATCTCAGTCAATTTGACCCTTGGAGGTAGAAAGTAAACATTAGTCAGTGGCGTAAGGTTTATTTATTTTTATGGGCAACAAAGTTTATGTTTTGTTTACATGTGCAAACGTAATAACGTATCACTAAATATTTATGACCAAACGCTGTATGTGTTTGAAAGGTCCCTATTGATCTATGATAAGGTATGGTGATACTTCAAAGTGGAAACTTAGAAGGAAATCTAAACACATTAAAATGCGAAAATTCCCGTATGCACGTCTATGACTTCAAAACACATACGGATGAAAGGTTATGTTAGGTAATTCAATAATTCCACAAATAATACAGCTTTTCCCCATTTCAAAGGGCTCCCATAAATTAATACACCACAATCGAATAAGTCGTCCACTATAAAAACGCCTAAAAATTAAGGAATCACGTTTTAACGAAATAAACAAAATACCTCTCAACGGAAAACAAAGTTACAGCGTTGCCGTTGTGGTGCACTAGTCACCATAACTTTTCTTGTTAGTTTGGGTTACTGAACTCTTATAAGCATCTAAAAATCCATTTAGATTACTCGAGATGCATGCATATATTATTAATATTCCCTTAAAAACTATCTCGTGAAATGTGACAACTTAGCCTCCTGCAATGTTAGTAAACAAACGAGATGATGGCACGCATAGATAAGCATCAAGGCATCTCTATCTTTATTTCTTACTCTGAGCTGTGTAGTGTATTTAACCCCCAGGTTCTACGCTAACTTCACACTACAAGAACACGGAAATAAAATAAACCCGGCAACGTTTTAAAAAATGGCCACCCGAATGACTATTCCCTCTAAAACTAAACAAGTACCCGCTTAAATTTGAAAAGTGGCACGTGATAAAACATCTAAGGCAGGGCCTCCTTACGTTACTTGTAGACAACGCTTTGACCTGAAGCACAGTAGGGAAGGAATTTTAAATGAAACACTGAAATTGTGAGAAGTTTGTTTAATAATGATCGTAATTATTATGATTGTGAAAACCCGGAAATTTAGTTGATGTACATTAATATAAACAAAACAAACAAAGCCAAAAGGTGTCGTACTCTCGCAAAAGTCACTGCCAAGGATAAAAAGAGTACGACGTAAGAAAAACCTTGCAGTTTGATTAAAACAGTCCAAAAGTTAATTAACAAAATATTTTGTAAAAGTTTAAGCAGTAGTTAACAAAGATAGTAAATGCATATACACAATGTTGGTTACACTCAAGGTTAAAGCAAGTTTTTGGGGACAATGGGTCAGGTAGAAGCAGGTACCAAGATTCTGAGAAGGGGTGAAATACACAGGATGTGACTCATCTTTGGTGCAATAAAGTCCTTTTGTTGAAAGCAAGATGGAAAATTACATGGCCTTGTAGGCAAATTTGACTAAAAAACAAGATATGTGGAAATTATTGAATCGCCACTCATTTAACGCACATAGATTCTAAACTGAAGAGCTTTGATTAGCGTAATCTCGCTCCTGCAAGATGGGTAGTCCGCCCCTGGTTTCGGGGTTTCGAACCTACAGTTGGATGTCGAAGACAGTGCACGGAATTAGGTGCCCTAACACATAAATATAGACTACAGTTTCTTTTTCCACCTTCCCGAGACTGCTTCATTCACGGAGAAAATTGTTAGTAACATACAACAAGTCAGTACATACATTAAACAAATCAGCAATTTCCACATATTAAAATAAAATGAAAACTTACATGAATGTAACTTCAAGGACAAGACCAAGTAATCAACATCAATAAACATAAATTAAGCAAACATTACACCAAAAATGTAAACAATTAAAAACAATAGCATAACGGTATCACACATATGATTGCATTGCGGTTAAACAAAGTAAATTTCAAAAACAGAGATTCAAACACACAACAAATATAAAATGCGGCATACAAAACACAAATACGATATAAAGAAATGCAAAAATTACTACCTGCATTAAATAACACAAAATAACAACAAACATTTATGGAGCGAAACGTTCACTACCTCCATTCAAGACCAGATGCCAAACGTAACTCCCGTTCGTACTTTCTAGGTGGCGCAGGCAACTTTTTTTCCCACCTAGAAATTGCATGGTTGCCAACTCTCAACAATGTATGTATCGTGGTAAGCTGTATATACAGGGTGGAACCTTTCAGCTGGATGGTAGAAACATAACCTAAAAGTGTTTCCTTAATTAAAGATTAATATATCAGCATACCTTAGAAATATTTGGCAATGCCGTGTATTGTTGATGTCATCAAATCAATGACGTGCAACGCTTTTTATAGCGAAAACCCTATATAATAATCATATTTATTAAAAAAAAATATGACAAGCAGATCCTCATTTGTTGTACGTAGTTATACACTTTGGCTGCATAAAATTAGGCGTCTTTCAGGACTTTTTATCATGTAAAAGTAGACATAGGAAATTCCTATGTCTACTTCTACATGAATATCACTGTGTACAATGGTAATACATCCTACAGTACTTTAGCCAAAGACGAAAAAAACATTTCCTCTTTGACTTTAGCTATCTATAATACACCGATGCGCGAAAGCTAACGAAAATCCTGCTATAATTACAATTTTTATAATTAAATCACTGCGCAGTCGGGTTTGATTTTTAAGAGTTCAAATATTGTTAAATAATGTTCCAATTGCTTCCAAAGCATCTAACCAAATTTTACTCGCCTATATATAGTTTTATGTTTTGACAAAAAGAAGTACTTTCATAATATCGATTTTCAAATGAAAGGCAAATTTTATGCAAATGGGTACTTTTTAAGAAAAATGCTATTTAAGTTCCTAGACTATGTGTAATGTTCATGTGATGCGTTTGATTATTTTTAGGGTCTCATAGTAGCTGCACGTCGGTCTAACTATAAATGAATAAACAAAAATAATATACATTTTTATTTCAATAATTTAATTATGTTCGTTTGCTTTAGCATAGTAGGTATAGCGATGACTGCATATTTTGTAAAGGCAAAAGTCTGAAGTTGTGCAATAACAGTACAAAATAAAATAACAGTAGCGTACAGCAAATACATGTACTAAAAAGGAAAAAATGAAACACTTACATAAATAGACCTAAACAATTTAAAAAAAAAACTAGTAACAAAATAGAAAACAGGGACCATGGATTATATATATAAATTAGCCATAAGCATATCATTAATCAGATTCATTTATTTCGTCGAAGTCCCACACCTGAAAAGCATTGAATTACTAACTCTTTTTAAATGGAAAGCTTACCTCCAAGTTGCCAATTTCGTTATGGATGTCTGAAAGGCCGGTTAGTTCTTCTAAGTACTTACAGCTATTAAACACCTTTAGTAGAAAATCAAATCCGCTTGCTTCATATTCGGCAATAACAATGTCAGAGCAAGCCACACATTGTTTATATTTTTCTGTAGCTGGCATTACATGGTTAAACATTGACAAAAATCCACGTATAGAATGAGGAACAGCACCCAGTATAGATTCTTCAGGTCCACAATCATCCCCTAAATCCTGATTGTTAGCTTTATAAAATGCAGGAGCACTTGCTCTGAAATTTAAGAAAAAGTTAGTAACACTATGCCACCAGTACAGTTTCAAAGCCTCAGCCTATTTCAGTAAAGAACGCTTTTGTTTCACCAGCACCAAATTATCTACAATGGCAATGAGAACTAAACTTACCCACGAGGATGTTGCAAAATTGACACCGCCAGTTCCACGGCCAGAGCACTTGCAATTGCAGACACACCTGGTCTGGTTACTGTACACTGTTGATCTAAGGTTCGCTTGGCAAGAGACTATAACGGTTAATGAGTCACAGCAGATTTTTACTAGGCACTTACATTTCCAGGAGCAGTAACATCATTGCAAAAATAACATCCCAGTTTATTACCAGGAATTGCCTTGAAACCCTCTGTTGAACAGCTAAGAGCTTCATCAGCTGTATCCGCACACCTAATACCATACCTCATCACCAGATAAGTATCAAATCCCAAAGCTGCATTTATAACAATCTAAAAAACTATCAACATATCAACTCTGGAAACAAATTTCCGATATCACCTTTTTGTTAATCGTTCCTAGAAGTGTAGGCAACCACCGACTCTCACGAGAATCCATTAATAAAAAGATAATGTCATGCGTGGAAATCAATTCGGTCAGCGTTTCCACGTTAGATTTCGTTTGATCCAAAAGGATTTCGCCGACCGGGTGGCCGGGCATTGGAATCGTAAGATTGTATCCTTTAGAATGCTGATTAGAGATTAATTTAATTGCCCACACTTGTCATCCGAACTTACCACTCCAGGAAAAACCTTCCGTAAATTCTGTGCGGCCGCGTCAGCTTTCGTCTTACTTTCCAGGCAATCTTCATAGGTGAATAGGTTCTGTCGAACTGGATTGGAGAAGGAGACTAGTGCGTTATCGACAAATGTTATCGTACGTACGCTCCACGCCTACAAAACGTCTTGTTTACTTCATTTCGCGGTGTTTTGATTGATCTTTGGTCTCGGTTCTTATATCAAGAGCCGTTTGTTAAAAGCTTGGATATACAAATTTTGTAACTTAAAAGTTGACCTACCTACATTTACTTTTCCTATTTCAGTAAGTAAGTAAGTAAGTTTCAGTAAGAATCCCGCTCCCCCACCAGATTTTTACTTAAATGCCTCACCAAATACAGAATACTTAGCTACCCCGTTTTCTTAACGCAAATCTTGTGGAAAGCGTGCCCTCTAACCAATACAAATCTCGTATTTTCGCTTAAATAAAGAAGCTGCAATTTTTGGATGTAAACAATCGAATACGCTGTGTCGGTTTGAAACCCATGTAACCGAAATTTATAAAAGAGAAAGCCGTTGTTTAGAAGGGATTTTTTTGTCTTTGGTGTTGTAACCGAAGCGTAAGATAACTCGTTGGCAATTGTTCGCTGTACTAGCACGTTTTGTACTTTTATCCGTCACCGTATACCGATAAATTTAAAGGTAATCATTTGCTAACTTTCTTCCGCTAATTATACTTTCCTTTACCCGCATTTCCGTGTGCCGTAATTCTGTTTTAGTTGCTTCCCTGGACGTAATCGCCCGCCGAATTATTGTTCCTTGAGTGTCCTCTTCCGACACTTTGTTCTCTAGATACACCGTGAGTTTTTCTTGTGAACATGCAATGCAATTTACAGTAGATTGTTTTTATAGCTTTTTCCTATATTGCGCATAAAGGGTGGTTCAAATTCGTGGCTCACCATTGGAATCTCCGCAATGGTGCTAGATACAGTGTAGGTTATAAATTATAATGCGGGCAAAGTTGCCCCTTTTTGTGACTAAAAAAACGCATTTTAAATTTTTGAAGAATCTTTGAAAATAACTGCGATATCACCGAAAATTTGAAAATGTCAAATTTCGTTTTCATTTTCCCTAGCTTAAACGATCTTGTTCCCGTTGGCACTTTCGATCTACAGGCACTTTTTTCGTAATGGACGTTACAATTAAACGCGGTTTGATGTAGAAATTCTTCTTCTAAATTGTAATCCTCTTCATTTTCTCTTTGTTGTAGTACTTTTGGAACTTACCTCGTTGTACTTCTACTTCCGGATAGCTCGGGTAAAAATAGTTTAATACGAAAAAATTTAGTTTTTTTCGCTTCCACTGATATTTCAGTAATTGTTTTATATTTTCGACAATGACTGAGGTAGTCTTCTTAAGTAAATTTATTACAGCGTTGCTATTTATCGGCGAAGAATATTGGCACCAAACTTCTTGACTTTCACTCACTTTATAATTCACTTAGCCCTTAACTATAAGACCACCCTTTTTTTGTAACAAATTTACATCGCTAATTGTTGTGTAAAAATCACAAATTTTACACGCTTTAGCTTTACGTGAAAGAATGCTAATTCACTTCCTTACATTACCTACTTGCCGAGTAACATTGTCGCGCACACACACACTTGTAATTAACAAAATCCTTCTTCATATAATAATAGCATGATAAGAAACATCGTTTAAAAATACAGGGTTCTTTGACCTCTATCTTTATAGTTAATAAACAACACATTTTCAGTATAATGTTAAACCAGGAGTAAACAACAATCAGGAAATACTGAAGCCACTACACGATATGGGAGTACTGTGGATTAAAATATGCAATGTTTGCCTTTGAGTACTAAAAAATGTTTAGATAAAATTTCAAAAAAATGTCTGTAGTATCTCTATCAATAAGAAATGCGTAGTTTGCGCATGCGCACATTAATGGCCCCTGAGCACAACCGGCAAGCATAAACTATACCTACCTACCTAGGAAAGGTCCAAAATGTGACCAAGACTGTTTTTTATACCTGTGTGTTTATTAATAATAGATAATTACCAGTAAATTTCGAGCAACAGAGCATCCCAATGTACCAGAGCCAAGTAATAAACATTTGGAGCACTTGATTTTTTCTAAATTGATGTTTGGTAAAAGTTGCCATTTAATTAATTTGAGATTTAAGTCAACCGCCGTTTCCGCCAGACTAAAAAAACCTCATTATCTGTATATGAGCAAACTAACTACATTACCATTGCGGATCAATCGAATTTCTCATATTTGAAAGTCGAGGTCCAAATTTCCCTCGTTCGTTTTTCTCCCAACCGATCCAAGCAGTATCGCTCTCCATTAACTCATCGAGATTCACTAAGGGGAATACTGTGGTAAAAACCAAACTGTGAGAGCAGTCAGTAGTCACACCGCTTCTGCTTAAACGGAATGCAAAAAGGTTCACAGTGCTGCCTTGTAAAAACGGGCTAAAATTATTCATTGCATTTCCTTTGATTAATTCAACTTTGCTTACCAATAGTGCAATATTAATAAGATATAATTACGTATCGGCCAACCGGGATGTTGACCTGACCCGGACGGATCGGAAAATCCGTAATAAAAGTCGGATGCATTTGCGGAGTTAACATCTTTAATACGGCTTAGTGGTAAAATCTGTAGGCCATCACAATGTCGCTTCAATAAGAAAAATGGCTTTTCCTTAATGTCTAATTCATTATAGCTAGTGACTAGATCGTTTATCTATAAAAACTATGAAATTAAACCATTCAACATTAATGTAAGCATACCGAATTACTAAATAAGTCTTCTATTGGAGTTATCTTAAGTAATTTCACTTCCAATGTCGTAGGAGCAAGATAGCAAAACCAGTAGTAATAGTGGTATTTTTTCAAATCCTACAAGAGAAGTATTATGGAACATAGACAAAACGAAATCAATAACAAACTGCAAATGAGAGCACTAAAAATGAGTTTAAACGAAATGGATCAGTGAGTAGTTTGTCACTTTTAATATCACCCCACAACTTCTTTCCTTCCGTCTGAACGAGTGAATTCTTATCGCATTCTTTAAACTGTTCAATCGTATTTTTGTTTAGGAGCATGCCAAGGACAGGTATGTAGACTTTCTGGTTTGAATAGTGCCTGTAGACGACTACTGTTAGAAATTGGCAAGGAATAATTGCAGGAACGCTTACCCATTGAACGATGTACTATCCACTTCGAATAGAGATGTTTTGCACTTATTTAAGTTAAGGTTAGAATAATAGCCCCAAATGGGTCTATTGTGTTCATTCAATTTGTCAACATCCAGCTTAATTTCTGTTAACTTATGCCAAAAACTTGGATTTATTGTGGAGCTAAAGGGGTAGTATTCTAATTTGGTTCCTGTATCCATCTAATTGAATAACTAATTTCACTTGGATCAACTAAACTAAACGCTTGTAGCTCTCATCTTACGTAATATAATTTTAAAAAACCATTAATTGGTAAACAATAACATGATTTGTGTAAACTTCTTTCAAACGTAAAATATAAATTTGATGAGACGCCACTGCTTCGTACGGTTGTATACAGGATGTTTCAAAATACGTTCAGTATAAGGTGCTTCCATATATTTGAATTAAAATTATAATAGGCGCTTTCTTTCGGCTACTTCGCGATCACGATTTCAAGATCGTGGGTCGTAGGATCACGTTTTACGAAAGAACGCGGGAATTTAAATCAAAGTATGGTTAAGTTTACGTAATAGTGTGTTATATTATGGTAATAGGTACACATTTGCATTCGAATTACGTACCTTTTGTTTGGATTATGAAAATAATTTAAATACAAGTGGAAGTACTTGCACGATTATGCTCCTCGTCAGTTACAAATATTGACTAACCTAACATTTGAGCAAAATTATAGGTTATGAATTCGTGATCAGTAAACAAATCATAAAACTATTATGTTCAGTTTGTTTACGATTTTAGCAATCATGTTCATAAGATCACACTTCGAAAGAACGTGATTTGACAAACCAAACGCGTTTGGATCACCGAAAGAAAGCGCCTCATGACTTATGAGTAGTCGAAGTATTGTCCAATATTTTTGAGGTACTGTCAGTGTCACGAATGCTAGTTAAGCTGAATTTATGGTTCCGTACCCGCAACGCCGTACCGTAACGTTTGGAATTAAAGCCGGATTTTATAGTTCCGTATCCGTAAGAACGTAAGAACGGAACCGTAAAATCGTACGTTAACGAAAATTATACGATTTATAGTTACCGTAGTGGTAAGAGATGAGCATGCGCATTAGTGCGAAACGAATTCTGTCATTGTATGTCATCTGTCAGTAAGAGTAACGTGCATTTCAAAATAATAATAACCAACAAAGTGTCAATAATTATTGTAAATAAACGAAACGAACGTCAGAATAAACTCAACTGTTTGAATTATCCGAGTACTACCGAAGACAAGCGCGTTAGCACGATTGACCGTAAGAAATAAGATTTGGGCATTTCCTACGTACCGTAACCGTTCTAACGCAACGTTAACGCGAATTATAAATGTTCACGCGCAACAAGCAGGGTTTAATTCCAAACGTTACGGTACGGTGTTGCGGGTACGGAACTATAAATTCAGCTTAAACCCTACTTGTTGGGTGTAACTAATTTTTGTTCTGAAAAGAACAGATTTTGAATGCACAGCGAAAGACGTAGGAAATAATCAAAATGAAATCACACGAAAAGTAAACCAAACGCGAACTGTCAGAATTCAAAATTTAAAAGCGACAACGTCGGGAAATGCTACCAACTGTTGCGGCTAAAATAAACTACATGCTTAATGTGTGGTCTAACAAACGAAAGTAAGTTTACGTTGGTACGTCGTTTTGTTCAGGTAATGACGTGCAACGGAAGATATACTGAATAGACCGTACAATGGCAGCTCTCGTTTCGCACTAATGCGCAAGCTCATCTCTTACCACTACGGTAACTATAAATCGTATAATTTTCGTTAACGTAAGATTTTACGGTTCCGTTCTTACGGATACGGAACTATAAATCCGGCTTTACACACGGTATGCTCATTATTTTTCTCAAACGCGTTTTCTACTGCGCATTACGTCACCTGCTAACGTGTGGCGCCCTTAGACCATATAGTACATGGACTGCTATTATCCCTATGCTTTCAATACAAAATGGGTGGTCACGGATAGAGGGCACTGTAGTCGTGGGTATGTGAATCTCAGGGTAAACTAAAGCCGTATGAACACCACTCGGATCGCGTAAAGAGTAGCTTTTATGGGAACCGCGTAGTACGGGAAGCTTTAAATACTCTTGATTATCTTCTATACGTCCACAAATACGGATAGGTTTGCTTTTTTGGCATATCTAGGCGATTAATTAATTGACGTTTGTTAATTTATAGGTTGACAGTCTGAAATCGTATCTAATCGGACAACTTCGGACAGACTCGTTTACCCTGAAACTCACATACCCAGGCGATGTCCTTGGCCATATTTTCGTTACAATTAGCAGTCCATGTACTATATGGTCTAAGGTTAAACTCGTTTTTGCCTGGTTCAAATTCAGGTTCCGAATGGATATTTATTTGCAAATGTACCATAACAGAAAGCTCACGACTGCGACCGATATAGCCAAAGACAAACGGCGTGCGCTATGCATTCAATTTAATACTAGCCTGAATAGTGAATATGCACCCTTCTATTAGAAATAAATTACTGTTATTAAATTCAAAAGTTATTCCGCGACGTAAACTTGCTTTATTGTCGATAAATAAGCCCACATGGATTTCTACACCTTCCCAAAAATGTAAGTCTCCCCATCAATTGCACAATGTCAGTATTTCGTTCCGCATTCCATGTAAATTATAATAAACCGTTACATTACTTGGCAAACTCTTAAAATTGGTGTTTCATTTCCTAAATGTGCCATTTGCAAATTACAATTGACGATGTCATGTGGAACTTTTAATCGAAATGAAAGCACTATAATCAATATTTATGTTAGTTCTCCTGTGTCAAGTTAACTAAACGATCATAGTGACAAAACATGAATTAAGTGGTACACGTATAAAATAGAAAGCTCACGCCTCTTACGCTTTTAAAGGGAGTACATTATTATGTAAATTTTAATTTACATCAGGAAATTAAAAAGGCATTGTGGTGACTTAAATTTTACTCTAAGATATATTTCCTTATTTACGTTTCATTCCGTTGAGCTCTCCGTGCAACTTGAAAATGAACGTGAACAGTTTCACTGCTTGTTCCCCTAAATTAAAATTACCTTCTTGGGCCACAACAACCTACAGCCTTACATCGTTTGCAAATTTGAAGATATGCGGTTTTTAAATAACGTCTATCAATAATTACTGGTTTTATTAATCATCATACGCTCAGATTGTACAGAAAAATGTGCCGATAAGAATATGGCAGGGATATTAAATTTTCGCTCTTGTTTAAAAATCATATAAAACTTTACCCAAACTTGAACAATATTAGAAAACTACTTTCATAAAAACCTATTAATGTATACTAGGCACACAAGCCATGAAAGTAACTTTAATTAAAAAAATGTACTCATCCCGGTTGAAATTAAACATTTTAAATGAAATTGGTTGTAAATTCGTAGGGTTTTAGCAAATTAATTTGAAAAATACTTCATTAAAAAACGGCTTTAACTTATAATAATATAATAAGTAAGTAAAGTTACCTTTTCTCCACTATCTGATGGTAAATAAAAGGTGACAACTGTAAGAAAGGATATCCCCATGCATGGAATTATGATGTTCACCGTATAAAATAACGTTTTTCGTCTCATCGTGATGTTGAATGTAATATCTAGGTAAGGCTCATCACAACACGTGTAGAATTTTTCGTTTCTGAAAAGGAAAGCATATTTTAGTTTTATTTACATCATTCTTGGGTATCAATTTGTCAGTTGTCTATGTTAATATTCTCAAGGGGCAGCAGGCAAAATAGGTATCTGTTATAGAGCTTGTATAAAGCACTCAATAAATACGCTCTCAAAGAGAAATTTCACATTTTCAATCCTTGCCGTTATACACTTAAACTACATTATTTAAATGTAGTAATGCATTTTCTTCCTGGTTGCATATTGATACTACATTGAATTGAATAGATTTTTTCAGTAGGTAGGATATTATTCGGATGAGAGTTTCGGACCACAAAAAAGGTGGTGCTGAGGCCAGGCTTACCATACTCGTGCACTTGAAATAGCATTTTGTTCGTTTGTTGTGTTTTTTCACATTAATATCAACCACAAGCATATTTTATGTATCTTAAAAACCTAGGCAGTGTGCTTGAAAAACAAAAGATCCATCGATTTCTGGTTAAACCATATTGAAGTAGCCCTCTTATCCCAAACGCACTGTATAGCCAACTGGGGAATCGTCAGGATGGTTTATGATATCCAAGTATTGTAATTACTCCAAATTTTGATAACTTAGAAATCTGTTACCACAAAAATCATTTTCATTAACTTCTGATTGCCTTGAAAATAAAATATGGCACCACAACAAAAGACTCATTCACCTCTAATAACCTTTAAAGTAGAAAATGACATCGCAAAGATATGGAGCTAATTGACCTTGACTAACCTTGAAATAAGAAACCACAAAAAATGGGGTCATTGACCTTGAAAATGACATTAAATGACATAAATAAACTAAAATAGGTGACAATCACAAAATTGGGGCCGTTGATATTTAATCACCGTGGGAGTAAAAGGTGGTAACCTTGAAAGTCAAATATGACAACAGAAAAGAGGAACATTAACCTCCGATGACCTTGAAAACAAATACCATTATGCATTCATTTGACCTACCTTCCAAGGTCACTGCCACGTGGGCTCGCGCCCTTCAATTGTATCTACTTTCCAAGGTCACTGCAAGGTGGCGAAGGACCTTGAACTGGTTCAGGTTCGGCATTGTATATCTGCTCCGCTATAGTAGGTTTATCACATTCCTTATCCTCCCCGCGAGTTTCCTGGTATTAACAACAGCGGCTTTAAAATACAAAAACAACCATATCTACTCTTGCTACACAGCCCATACTTAACCATGACTATACATACAAAGATTGGACCGGCTGGCAATGAAACGGAAGACAGATGGAAGAAGAAGATAAAACTGAACATCTAGCCGAAGGAAAACGCGCGAGAAAAAGAAAATGAGGCCTTTCACAGTCAGAGAGACTTTATGTGTGTAGTAAAAATTAGGCCACTCTGCGGGATGTTGCGACTCACTATTTGACTTTGTAAGATATGATAAGAAGTTAAACTGAACTGTGTATCGCATGAAAATATGCTATACATGCTACATTCGGAATGATCAACGGCCAATAGTCAGTCGACTCATATTAGGACAGCGGTGTCGGGGTTTAAACTAGAGCTACCCCTGCGTTGATTCAAAGCGATAAAATATATATTTTAAAATAGTGAAAATATGTAATTACCTAACTGCAGGCACATCTAATATGTCCCATTCTACAGACTTGTAAAATTCTGAAAG